AAGTTACAACCAAGTGTAACAGATGTAGTTAATTGTTTCTTCCTCAGTTTGTCCAAGTAGTAAGCAGTTTTCACACCTAACACTCATGTCATCCTAGGCAGGATATAATTTTCATGCCCATTCTAGCTAAAGCATTAACAAAGACTGATGATAACTGGTTCTTGATTCCTTTCTCACTCAGTTTACCCAATTTAGTCCCTTTTCCAAGGCATGCAATCCTTTCCCTGACCTCTGGATTTGTGAAAAGGTCTCTTAACCTTTCTTGCTGTTTCTAGTTTTGTGTGGGAATACACATTAGGGCAAGAATCCCAGCTGTGCAGTAACAGTATGAGCTTACCAGCAACCACTCAACTCTTGCTGTAGCACAAAAGATATGCAGGAATTAGGGTTGCATGTTCTTGTTAGATCATATGTCTGCCCCTTTATGATACTGGTCACTACAAGAGGCTAGTTCTCATAGTCTAAAGAAATCAGGCTATAACCTCTAGCCCCAAAACTCTCTCCCTGGGACAGAGAGTTGAGATGTTCCTCTGTGGTTCTGGTGGGTTGCTTTACACTTAATTTATAGTTCTCCTGGGACCTGGCTCCTCCAATATTCTCACAATGTAGGCTATCCCAGAATAATGCTAAATCAAGTGGTATTCCTTTAGAGCTCACACCTCCCCATTTGTTAGGGGATTTCTCTCAAAGCTCTTTTTTGAACATGCCCCCACCTATCATCCTGTCCATAAAGGCACCCTTTCTTCTACATTCAACCATCCCTTTAAAGGAAATTTCTCTGTAGGTTTTAAAGGAAAGTTTTCTTTTCCTTCAAGACTCTGTTTTTAATGTACTGTACTGTTCATATTCTCATGGTCTCCTGCCTTAAGGTCTGACTATAGCTCCAAGGCCCTCACTCTTAATAAAGCTAATTTTGAAGGGCAACTATGTGTCAGCCTCTTTTGTGAACCAACAACTATGGTGTTTCTTTTATCTAACATTTCCTATAAAACTTCATTTACTAAAAGAGTGCAAGATGGATCAAAAGTATAGACCACACAGTATGCTTGATGACTTCTGCTATACACATTCATGTCAGTATTTGACTGAAAGACCCTACCTTAATGAATAAAGTAGAAGAGAGATCTAGGATGATTCCTGACATCAATTTTGTATTTCCACATACATGTGCGCACACACACACACACACAAATATGTGTGCCTACACACATATAAAAACAAAAAATGGAAAAAAAAGAAGTTTCCATTTTAATATATTCAAAATGCTTTTGGAATACAGATTTGTACTAACAACCTATGTTTAAATTTCCATGGAAAGTTATTTTGATACATTTTACTTGTAAAAATATAAACAATGAGTTGGAACAGACTCAGAATATAAACAAGGAAGGATGAGGAATAGAAAACTAAGGAGGGATTATAGGATTAGAAAGTACATGAAAATAAAATGTAAGAAGGTAGAATATTTTACACAATTAATATGGTTGTGCTTTCCTGGGTCTTGATAAATTTAAAAAAATCACAATTTATTCTTATTAAAATCCTCAGCATATAAAAATACTTGATTAAAAATGTATTGGCTGTTTCTCTTTTCTTGTTAGAACTGAACATGTATTTTTAGAAAAGGATGATCCTATTACAAAATTTGACACAAAACACCACTGTTTGCACAAAGAGTCTAGGGACAGTAATTGACATATATTTATTATATATAATGATGGGTCCCAAGATATGTTCAAACAAGTATATCATGCAATTTGAGTCTATTCATGTTCCACATTCTCCTTCATGCTCACCCTTTATGTTAAAATCAAAGTCCACATTGTTTCTATCTCTTTCTCTATTTTCATTCTAATTCTCTCAAGTAAGAAAGGACAAAACGTGCGAACAAAAGTAACTCAATTTAAGAATGAGATTTGTCCAATAAGGAAGTATCTGAATACCTAAAATAACACAACATTAAAGGCAGAAGTACAGCCACACGTAACCCAACTCTGCCTGGAGCCTGAAGAACTCTTATTGTCTCAACCTCATAAATATCCCCCAGGTAGTGACCTCAACCCGTGCTGTGATCCCAGAAAGGTAACTTGAATTTGTTAGAGGAAAATGTAGGAATACACTTGAATATACAGATACAGGAAAGGATTATTTGAACAGGACTCTCATAGTGCAAGAATTATAATCTCCGGAAATTAGAAACAGCCAAGATGCCTATCATAAAATGAAAGGATAAATAAAAGGTAGTATGTTTACACATTGGTATCTTTTTTTTTCCAAGACAGCTTTTCTCTGTGTAACAAACCTGGCTGTCCTGGAACTAACTCTGTAGATGAGGCAGGTCTTGAACTCACAGAGATTCGCCTGCCTCTGCCAGGATTAAAAGCATGGGCCACTATGCCAGGCTTACAAAATGAAATATTAACTATTTTTTTTAAAAAGGCCTCTTTTCTCCAGCAAAGCAAGAGGCCCAAAAGAAAGCCAAAGGGAAGAAGATTCCTCCCCATGAAAACCCAAGTCTATGTTTTGTCTCAAGGCCTTTGCTTTTCTTTCATTCTATATGTCCTATTCCATGTCTGGCTGGCTGACTGACTGACGGTTGACTGACCTTAAGCATTTTACTGTCTTTCTCCCTCATTCTCTCTGGAGCCTACATTCCTCCTCCTACTTATTCTCTCTGCCCCTCAGCCACACATAGTCCTCTAGCTATTGGTCATTCTGATTTTTATTGGACCAATCAGGTGCCCTAAGTAGGCAAGGTGAAACAGCAACGTATCTTCGCCTAGTTAAACAAATGCAGCATAAACAAATGTCACACACCTTTACACAGTTAAAGTAATGATTAATAAAAAGACCACAACCAGTCAGTGTGAAGAATAAGAGACCACAAAGTGCTCAGCCCAAAATGATGTATCACACACCCTCACTCCAAGGCTCAAGGGTCACTGTGAAAGTGTGGGCAGAAAGATGAAGAACTTGAAGTAGTAGATGAGAACAGTGAAACAGAATTGTCTAGATGTGAGAGGGAACTCACAGACACTACTGACAGCATGCACAACACCTGCACAAGATCAAGCAAGAAAAACTCCCAGTCATGATTGGGGAGGGGATCACAAAGTCCCATCTCTGGGGGAGGAGCTGTACACAACTGATGACCTCTGGTAAAAAGTCAGTTTTCTTCAGGGATGTGGCCCAAGAGGTTGTGTGCCAGAGGAGAGCCCTACACTTATGCACATATGAGCATCACCAAGTAGATTTTGTGGGTTTAAAGAGAATGCAGAAGAAATTCAGAGGGAATAATGGAAGGGATAGTGGAGGATTTCTCAAACAATAAAAGGAAAATCATGTAAACACATAGTTATGAAAACTTATTACCATAGCATGCTTAAAGATATTATCCTTCAAAAGTTTTATTTCTAAACCTGGTACCAGCCTTAGTAACTTGGATTTAGGGAAAATATCCAGAACTTCTAAAAATGCCTTATAATCTAAGCAATAAATGGCATAATAAAATGAACAAAGAGGTTTCAAGAGATAAAACTTTTTTTAAAGGTGCAGATAATTAAAAAGATGTTTAACATTTCACCTTAGCTGCCCAGAATTGCTATCACTAACTAAACATCATTAAATGCTAATGAGGATGTGGAGAAAATGGAACCCTTATATACTGATAGGAATGCAAATTATTTGAGTCACTATGGAAATGAACATGGAGGTGTCTCACATAAGAACCAGTCACTCCATCTCTGTGGATATATTCAAAGGACTCCAAATCAACACATAGCACAGTAACGTCCAAACCCACATTTACTGTACTAGTATTCACAATTGTCAAGTTATTGAATCAGGTTAGGTATCCACCAACAGATTTATTTAGCGATAAAGGAGAATGAAATTGTGTAGCAAGGTGGTGGTGGTCAGCTTTAATCTCAGCATGTGGGAACTCTGAGTTCCAGCTCAGCCTGATCTACAGAATAAGTTACAGGACAGCCAAGGCTACACAAAGAAATTCTGTCTCATAAAAAATATGCATTCAACTGAACAGCATCATAATAAGTGAAATAAATCAGACTCCGTATAAGCCTATTTGCACTCATTTGCAGATCCTAGTTCTTATATACACAATTCAAAACTGCACATAGGGCATGAAAGTAGAAGCCAGACTATCTGAGGGTAATGAACAGGAGTTGGAGGGGAAATAAAAAGAAGGCTTGACATGAATACTGTCAAAATACATGATGCGCCTGTTTGAAAATGTCTGTGGAAATCATCAGTATTTACAATGAACATATAGGGGTTAAAAAAGTTTCAATATGCCTGAGTTGTTTGTGCAAACAGTGGTATTTTGTGTCAAACAACTAATTTCCTTTGAGAGATCTGGAATTCTGGCATATTCTAGGCAAAAAAGTCTCAATATAACTGATTACTAATAACACCTCCAGAATCCTGTGTCCTGAGCTTCTCTGTTAGGCAATGCTTCACATGAGTTATGACTAGCTGAAGAAATTAAGCTTTTCCCAATGTAACTCCACTGAGAAAGGACACTAGGGACTGTGAACTTGGATCCCAAAGACTACCCTAGAGGTTTCTTTGCTGAGTCTGCTTTTCATCCTTTTTACTATATCCCTAAGGGAAAATACCTGCTGTGTCCTGTGACTCCTGCTAGGAAACATAAAACACTATACACACTAATTATATATGCAATGTTTAGAAAGTATAGATGTGAAAATCAGATAAAAGGAATATTATTTTATACATGAACTACTCAAGAAGAATGAAATTAGCTAAGGACAGTTTTATTTGCAAGTAATACAAGAGTTATACATTTGTTAAGCTATATTTGCACATATAAATAGCAAAAGTTTAACCATAGTAAAGAAGGCATTTTCGACTACATAGGATAATGATTTCTCCTAAGACACACTATACAATTAACTATCCTTCTATATCTATTTGTACTTCTTTTGTGAATTAAGAAAGTAAAAATATTAAGAGCACTCTACCTTTTTAATCTTGGCCTTTTCAGCTTTTTCTTCTTTATCACATTTCTTGGCATTCCTATTAAGTTCTTTTGCAGCAAACTTCAAGTTAAATAGGTGTTCTGAAAATATAGGTTAAGGCTAACTAGTCAAAAAGTCATTTTACCAGCATAAAGACCCACAAACTTGATGCTGAAACCATTACAAAAATGATCAGATAATATTACGATCTAAGTCAATTAATCACAAATTATCTAAGGAAAGAGAACAAACTATTTCTTTTACATTTTCTTTCACCCCAAATCCAGAAGATATGATATTAATTACAAATTAACTACTCTGGAGCTGCTTTGTAGACAGCATTTAACCAATTTTAATGCCATCAGTAATAAGGCATGTCAGTATTATTTACTCTCTGAAATGATGTCATGAGAACACATCCTCATCAGTATTGCATTGTTGCTAACAACCAACCTCCCTTGAAATAGACTGGCAGTGTCAAAGTCATGAAGAGCAAGGAACAACTGAACATCTGGCACAAACTGGAGGCCACAGAGACAAGGTGGCCGACTACATGAAACATTACTGGAAGCTCTGGGAAACTACCAGTAGCCCCTATTGAGAGACCACAGCAAGAATGTGGGAGGCAGAACCAAAGCAGAGACCATGCTGTGACACTGCTTTCTAGCTGGCTCCCCAAGGCTTGCTCAGCTTGCTTTCTTATTATCACCTGGGGCATCCTGCCAAGGGATAGCACTGCAAAAGGTGGGCTGGACCCTCCCACATCAATCATTAATCAAGAAAATGCCTCCAGGTGCTGCCTACAAGGTTCCCTCTTCCCAGATGACTAGCTTGTGTCACTTTGACAATGAAACCAGCCAGCACAGTAAAACACAAACCTGAGGAAAACCGAGAAGAAAATTAGCTAACTGGAATACACATCTGAATTATAATGAGAAGATAAACAGCAAGAGAAATACACTAAAATGGCCTTATACTATCTGCAATATTTGGGCTAGAGAGATCGCGTGGTGAAAAACACTGCAGGCCCTTCCAGAAGACCCAGGTTCAATTCCCAACACCCAAAAGGGAACTCACAACTGTCTGTAACTCCAGTTTCATGGGATTCAATGCCCTCCTTTGGGCTCCATAGACAAGAGGCATGTATACAGGATACAGTATACATGCAGGTAAAATACTCATACACATATAACAATAATATAAGAATAAAAAATTTTAAAAATCTGGAATCTTAGGTAAAAAATCAGTGTGTGAAAGACCGTATTTAAAATGAGAATTGTGAATATCCTGTAACTGATGAGCACAATAAAATAGTTAAGTGGCATAAAAATTCCAAACAGCCAAATAAATATAATTCACATCTAGGTGCATCATAGTAAACTTCCAAACATCAAAAAGATTAAGATAACCTTAAAAGAGCCACAGTAAAAGTTCAATTTTACAAATGATATGGCCAAACAGAGCAGAATTTTCAAACAAAACTCTGCAGTAATTATCAAAGGATTTATGATCATATACTATTCGAAGTGGTAATAGTCTATCAAACTGCCATAAATACCAATAGGTAACACTAAAGTATTGCTTCTATAGAGAATCTAGGGTTTGGTTCCTACGTGTTACACTTTCATCAACTGATGTATATTTAACTTTATTTTATGTGCATTTCTGTTTTAATAACTCCTGGTTAAAACATATTGTTGATTCATTAATATCAAATTCTTAGCTAAGAATACTATAATTCATGACTGAAAACTTACCTAATATAAAAATCTTACCTACAAGGCACATCACAGCCTTTGCATACTAAAACCACTAATCAGCACACCACGGTCTATAGTTGGGGACTAGTTTAAATAGAAGAATTACAAACAGAAGGCACACAAATACAGAAAACGTGATGGTAAAAAAAGAAGAGAAGATACTTGCTTACAGCACAAACATTCATTACCTTTCCTAAGTAGGAAATAGGAACATCGGGGGAGTTCTAATGTTTACTAATCTAGGCAGGTTGTGGAATAAAAACATCATTTATGCTGGTTTCCCACAATTTACCATGCAGGCAAATTTGCAAATACAGAATGTTTCAATAATTAACTTAGCTTCTCAAGAGACTAAAGCAAATCTAACAAAAGGTTTGATGAGCACAGAATTATATCCAGGAAATGCTGGTTAGAGAATTGAGATGTCCAATTTTAAGTTTAAAAATGCAGAACATAAACAGATGATGAAAATACCAAAGACAAAGGATGGGGTGAGTTGAATATGTTAAAACCTTTGTACCATTCACAAGTAAATTATCATTCATTAAATTTAACACTAACTATGCATGTTAAAATCTCAAGGGTATTGTTAAAGAAATAGTAGGTAACTTCCAAAGTAATAATGGGGAAAATGGTGTGAAACATCTACAGACTCAAGGAAAGCAGCAAAAGGGTAATGAATCTAGAGATAAAAGGCCAAACAAATTATACCTTGAGTAGAAACTTTCCCCAAATGTGAGCTGGCCAGATCGCTCAGTGGGAAAAGTGCTTGCCTAACAAGCCTGATGACCTGAGTTTTATCCCCAGACTAACCCATATTAAAAAAAAAGAGTTCCATTCCCAGAGCCTACCTTAAAAAGCTGCATGGGGTGGTATGCATCTATAATCCCAAAACTCTCTTGCTGAGAGATGGGAAGAAAAGACTAGAGAATTGGCCAGAAGTTCTTGGGCCAGCTAGGCTGGAATACACAGTGCAGCAGAAACAGTAAGACCTTGTCTCTCTAAGGTAGATGGAGAGAACTGACTCCCAAACACTGACTACGGACCTCTACATGTGTACTGTAATGCACACACAAATAATAAATGAAAAGTAAACAAAATTCAAGAAAAAGAAACTTTCTCAAAATATCATGATAGATTAAAAAATAATGAAGCCAATTATAGACTTGAGTTTAAAAGGCAAAGACGTTGTTGAACGATAAGATGGCAAAAGACAGAAAAAACACTATTCTAAAATGAGCCATGAATTTATTAGTATCAATTATAACAACATAAAGTCAGTAAAGTATTAGGAATTAAGAAACAAGGCTCATCATTTGCTTTCTTCATGCTTTTCTGCTAGAATCTAAAGCTAAAACCAAAAAATTTAAAAAGTTGTGTTTGGCTGGGTAGCAGTAGAACACACCTTTAATCTCAGTACTCCCGAGGCAGAGGCAGGTGGATCTCTGTGAGTTTGGGGCTAGCTTGGTCTACAGAGTGAGTTCCAGGACAACCAGGAGGGTTTCCCAGAAAAAATCCTATCTCGAAAAACCAAACAAAAAAAGTTGTGTTTGAAATTTCAATAGCTATCTACCTATAACTAAAAAGGAAAATTGTCTTTTATTTTTAGTATTGAGTAACAGCAAAATGACTGGAACATGACTTAGGAAATATAGTTTATTGGGACTCTCTGCCACAAAGGAACACTGAAAATTAATGATGTAAACGTTCCCCACATAAAATCAGGAAAAAGATATAATAAGCTCCTAAAGAGCATAAGAGGGCAAAAAAGAATCAAACAGGGGAAAACAAAAATATAAAATGATAAAAATGTCCAAAGCTAATTTCTCTGTAAAATCTGACATTTGCTGTGTAGTAACTAATCAAGCAAAAAGGGGAGGCATAAATAGAATAAGCAAAAGGAACATAACTAAAAAGATACTTCATAAAATAGATAATACTAGATCAATGAAGAAATGAATTAAGTCTCAATAATTCAGAATTTCTGATGTAAAGCTTTAGAATATTTTCACACTTAAATCGATGTCACAAGAACAGAGGTGATGGCATTATTGGAGGATTTTGCCAAATATTTAAGAAAATAGCAATTCTTACCATGCAGCAACTTCCTGAAGGACTAGGAAAAGGAAAGAATACATTTTATTCTTGAAACAAGACTTTAATTAAAGACCAGATTCACTCATCAGCAAAGATTCAAAACTATGAAACACAATATTGGCAATCATTATAGATGGGCAATATATTATATTTGCTTCATAATCATGATGGAATCTAGAGACAGGTTAACGTTTTAAAAAGGTAAATCTACCCTTTTTATTTACATTTGATTAAGGAAAACTTAAGTAAAAATACAAAGGAGGGCCATAAAGATCCAAAATTCAACTGATAATCAAATAAACACAGAGATAAGCTATTCATGGTGGAATTCTAAAAACAAAAGTGCATCTAATCAAAAATCTAACACAAGCATCAGCTAGTTAGAATTTGTCTTAAAATCAGTTACAAAAGAAATAAACTAGCCGGGCGGTGGTGGCGCACGCCTTTAATCCCAGCACTCGGGAGGCAGAGGCAGGCGGATCTTTGTGCGTTCGAGGCCAGGCTGGACTGATAGCCTCCGAAACAATACAGAGAAACCTGTCTCGTAAAAACCAAAAAAAAAAAAAAAGAAAAGAAATAAACTAACATTATTTTCTGATAATATATTTGTATCCCAAGAATTTTTAAATTGCATATATTCTCCAACACAACAACCCTATTCCTAGTTATTTATCACCCACTATTTGCCAGTCTACACAGAACATATATTAAAACAACGATCAAGCCGGGCGGTGGTGGCGCACGCCTTTAATCCCAGCACTCGGGAGGCAGAGGCAGGAGGATCTCTGTGAGTTCGAGGCCAGGCTGGACCGACAGCCTCCAAAACAAAACAGAGAAACCCTGTCTCATCAAAACAAAACAAAACAAAACAACAATCACAGTGGTATTCCTTATAATGATAGGAAAGGTAAGTTCAATGTCATCACTAAAAGAGTAAATAAATAAATTGTGATTTATTACTATATTGGAAAACTACAGTTATGAAAATTGTTTTTGTTTGTTTTTAGAGACAGGGTTTCTTTGTATTGCTTTGGAGTCTGTCCTGGAACTCATTCTGTAGACCAGGCTGGCCTGGAACTCACAGAGATCTGCCTGCCTCTATTTCCTGAGTGCTGGGATTACAGGCATGGGCCACCACTGCCAGGCTGAAAATGTTTTTTTTTTAATACATTAATGGATCACAACTAACATTTTGAAAAAAGTAGCAATGACACTGCATATATACCATTTAAATACATGAAGTATATCAATATACCTTAAGGGTATTCATGTCTGATGTAATATATAAAGAACTGAAATCATAATTGTCAACTTTTAGATAGTGGCACCTATAGTAACGGAAAAGACGAGTTTAATTGATAACGTTTATAGCATTTCTTAGGCCAAATAGAAGGCTCTGGGGGAATATTTTATTTTCTTAACTTTCTAAAGAGGAGAAGGGTTAATGTTACAAGATTTACAAAAGGAACTCAGAATAAAATGGGTGACTTATTAAACAGCAATATAATTTCAAACGGCAATATAATTTCTTGAATAATACTATGCCAAGTAAACACTAAGTCACCCATTTTAATAGAGAAATCTATTTAGAAAGTATATCAAAAGTTTGTCTTTAAAGCAGCACACAAAAGTATGATGTGCTATTTGTACTGCTTTTCTGTATTATAGCTTTTCAAAATTCATTAGAATTCAAAGAATTCACTGTATATAAAGAAGTCTTATTTTAAAATAGAACTCATCTATTTACTACAGAAAATTTGTGACAGTTCACTATTTCAACTTGATAGTAAGGTTTCTAAATACAGTAGTTCAGAAGCTATTTTATTACAAATGCCACAAGCCAGATTATATAATTCTTGATGAACCAAAGTAGGGGCTGAAAAACAAACAAACAAACAAACAGGCAAAAGAAAGAAAAGTAGTGTTTCCAGCAGAGTACTAGGCTCTCATGAGAGATGGCTCCGTTATTATTAGCATTTGCCACTCCTGCAGAGGACCAGAGTTTAATTTCCAGCACCCATGCCAGGTAACTCACACTTATCTTTAACTCCAGCTCCAGGGGATCTGACACTCCTGTGGCCTCTGTGAGCACCTGCACTGATGTGAACATACCCAAATATACATGCACACAATTTAAATAATTACAAATGTTCTTTTTTAAAAAGTGTCCCATTAATAGCTGACCTAACATAAAAAAAGGTGGTACCAACACCACAGAGTATGTATTTCATAAGTGGCATTATGCTTTTACCTTTTTGGCTTTTTAAGTTTCCAGCACCTTGATTACTCTTTTGTGTGTTTTAGGGAAGTAAATTTGGGACCAAAGACTAGGGTGAGAGCATCTGAACTAAAAGCAACTTTAGAGATAATCTTATTAATTTGAAAACATATACATATAGATGGATATGCATAGAATAAGAGGAACTCAAATGCAGTTTATCTCTTTGGTCATATATTGCATTTTAACTATTACGGTGAATTGTTCAGAATTGGCCTTTAAATGGTACGGAAAGGAAGACCCAGGAATAACACTTACTACTTCTTGTAAAAGATAGCATCCTGTTGATGCCATGTGCCATAAATAAATTATACATGCACTGGCAAGGAACCAATTTAATGATACTGTAAACACACTGGAACTAATTCCAGTAAAGTGGCTCCACCTTCCATTAAATCTTCAAGAAAGCTGATCTAACTGATTAGAATCTCCTTGACTGTGGAGGGCTTGGAATTTTGCAGATTCAGGGCTTACTTACAAATTCTCTTGGGCTACATTTACCCCCCCTTAGCAGCCATTCGTTGACCACCACTGCCTGACCTAACAGCCTGTGACTAACAGATAAAGCTTTTTGAAATGTAGTAACAGACCAGAGGCTTCCACCAACCAAAAGGCTAAGAGTGTTCTCAGAGAGATCTGAGGCCTATAGCTGTGATTTTCCCACTTTGCTGTAACCCACCTATCTGATGTCTCCACTGATAGATTGTAAGGGTCTTGATTTATAACTTCCTTCCGTTACCATTTAAAAAAATGCATTACACTATCACCACATTGGAACATGGAATGTGGGGTAACGTGAATCTATGTTCCTAGGCCATGGTTACTCATATTAAACTTCATAATTTACTATGCCATCCCCTTTAAACTGAGAATGGTTGTTTACATTGCCAGTATCTTGACACAAAACACATCAGTGTATTTATCAATGCTGGCAAGTCTGATACTAGTATGTAACTTGTTTTGTTTTAGGATTAAACGTTATTCATAAGATCTGCAATGACTAAAAGCTATTTTTAAGGAGGTAGATATTTTTGTGTATCCCGAGTGATAGCAGTCCAGAATTCCCTTTTTGACCGCAGAGTATGTCCAGTACTTACTATCTACACCATTGGTTCATAACCTCCTTCAAGTTAAAACACCTAGAAAAAAATCATTGCTACAGACAGTATCACCAGAAAAAAACACACATGGTGAAATTCAAAACTGTGCATACAATTTGAAAACATTTAGTAACTCCACACACGAACATTCATCTGAATCCATAGGAGTTCCCTTGCATTGGTATTTATCTTCATGTTTGAGTGACCTCTGGATCCCAGATCCAAAGCTGCTCAAAGATGGAAGTGGTACCTTTAACCTCATTAATCCACTAGACAGGTATGCAGTTTAGTCTATTGCCTCCAATCCTTTTAAAATTTCTAAGAAAGAGCTAACAATTTCTAAGCTATTCAAATAAATTGTACTTCAGTGTATACAATTTTGATAGGCATTACGATTTCTTTTTACCTTGAAAATACCTTTGTAGGGTTGAAAGGTCAGATAATATGCTTTCCAAAAGAGTCAAGTGGGTGACAGAGGATGTATGCCATGCCCTAACTCAGTTTTATTTCCCTTTAGAACTGGGGGGGGGAGTAACACATCTTCTGATGAATAATTCAATGCTGTTCACCATACGGTAACATTAAAAGTGCACTACATTCATTAGTTTTTTAAAGTGCAGTAGAAACTGGGCCTGTCTGAGTCATTTATTCTTTTCATGAAATGACCTATCTACACCCTTCCTAAAAGGATAATATTTGAATTTTCGGTGTATTTAGCAAGTTATGTTAGCAATATTTTCTGTGTGAAATTAGAAATAATCCATCAAAAAGTTTAACTGCATTTCAGGTTTATAAACTAATGAAACAAAAAGATCTTGTAACACGAGCTACTTTTGTTGTTACCACCTTGGACTGGAAATAAAAGCAAATTACTCTGTTTTCTCTAATGGCAACCTCTGGTAGAAGTAAGAATTACAGCAACATGGATTTGCTGCGATGGAATTTTAGGAGTGAAAAACAATTTCGTCTTCATTACGTCACCAGGCACCTTCACTCTTGGCCCCTACTGTCTAAGTGGCCACATAGGTATGGCTGAGGGATTTCACTGCTTTAGGAATGACCTTACTTTCCTCAAGTGTTAAATCAGCATGCAGCCGGAGGAGAAAGCAAGCACAGATCGTTCGGAGCGCTCCCAGCAATTGCTCAACCTCATCACCAGTCACCTGCACCCAGAAATGGACAGGTCGCCAAAAGTTATTTGTCTACGTGGTCATTCAAAACCCACATCTCCGCCCCCAAATCACAGGCAAACTTGAGCCGCCTCCCCCCTGCTCTGGCACCATTCCCTGTCAATTTCAAAGATGCCAAAACTCCCGGATAAGGCAGGTGACATAAGTCCTCAACAAGAGGTGGTAGGGGCTCAACCATCGCGTCCCTCCACAGGCTTCCCGGACCCTCCCCACATTCTAGGATGGCGGCGGCGGCGGCAGCCGCAGCGTGGAGGGAAAAGGAAAAAAAGAGAAACCCGGAGGCTGGAGGCCAACCATCCGCGCTAGAGCGCCCTCACCACACTCGCGGACCAAAAAAGGTCAAACCCCTGGGCATGTCCCCTGCCCCTGTCCTCGCCCTTCCCCGGCCCCTGGAGCCCCGGTAGCACCTCCATGGTCGGAAAGGATACTCTCCAAGTTCGACATGGTCTCAAGAGCTCGCGGCCCGGGAGCGAGGGAAGGGGGTCGCTGACACTTGGAACAGGGCAGAGGTGGCCGCCGGTCACGGGTCGCGGGTCACAGGTCTCTAGGGCGCGCGGAAGGCGGCGGTTGTGCACCGCTTCTGGGGTTCGTAGCCCACTTCCTGTTTCGGTTCGGAACCCGTGGTGGGTGGAGTCCCGCGAGCCAGAGAGGCGGGACTGGGACGACGCCAAAATGGCTGCGGTGAGCAACAGCGGTTAAGAAGGGATCCGGACGCTTGGGGGCGGTGGAGGGCCGAGAGCGGACGCTTAGGTCCCGCCCCCTCAGATGCTTCACGTGCGCTCAGGATAACTGCTTAACCTGGTCCGGCATCCCACCAGCCTTCTAGTTCTTTCTTTTGTCAACCGGGACTCTTCCGCCCCACCTCGTCCCTCAGATTTCACACTGTCCGTGGCGCCCCCATCCCTTTTTCTCAGAGCTTAAGTCTTAAAGGATGAAGACAAAGGTATAGGACTTTTAAAGTACTTTTTAAAAATTATAAGTGTAAAATAACGGCTTTTGAGGGGGTTCGTGTGGCTGGTAACGTTGAGGTTTTAAGTAGATATGAGCCTTGGAGTTTTAGACTTCAAGGGAAAGGGGGAAGAGTAAGACTCCGCTTACAGGTAGTGTTGCTATGAAAGACATTTTCACACTAGTTGGATTCTTTTAGTTTTTTTTTCAGCACAGATGATTTATTATATAAAATTAATATAAAATCGTTATAATGGGTGGGAGTGCGTTGTTATAAGCAGAAGATAGTGCTTGGCGTTTTTACATAAGACTAACGGAAATGTCTAGAGGTGAATTTACTAGATGTCCTCTTTGGACTTAGGAAAAGAGGGAAACTTAAGCATTATTATTGCATTTCAATTTCAATATCATAGAAATTACATATACTAAGGTACTACTTTGAGAGTTGGTGTAATTATCATCATTGTTCAATCTCAGAAGTTCGGTATTTACTGCATCTTTAAATTCAACCTGTGGAAACGTGTGCAATGTCATATACTTTTTTATCCTTGGGGCTACTTATTTTTTAAAACAACTGGCTCTAAAAGTGAATATTGTGTTAATGGTGGTTGGCCATAAGTTTCAGACTGTTTTCTAACTATGAATTGAACTGTCGGTGCTTCTTTAAAAGGAAAAAAATAGAACACTCAGTACAAGACTCTGAGGAAGTACAGTATAGAAATCACTTCGAAAGGCAGAACACTGTAAAGATTATTTTTAGGTTTGTATCTCAGTTTATAGTTGATGAACAAGACTTAAATTATAAAGCTTAAAGCTTTGGAAATTTTGTCAGTGTTCCATGTAAGTAAAACAATTGTGTTTCTGTGCTGGAAAACTAAGTTCGGGGGATAAAGTAAAGATGTGTTTTAGAAGACTTGGCCTTAGCACTTACTATTTTTAACATACTTTCAGTAAAACGATAGCCCAATCCACCAAAATTTAAACATTTCTAAACATTAAAAAGCTGTGAAGTTGTTAGTTACATGTATGTAATGTGTAAAAATTAATCAGAAAATTTTAAATGTTTTCAAATTATAGCATTTCTCAAGAGGCATCTTCTTGGGATAAGATCATTTTTTAAATAAGATGTTTAGAGACAGCATTTTCCATTGCTGTCTGTCTTAAAAACAAAATCTGTTATATAGTCTGTACTAAATAGGATTTTTATTTTGTATAAGGTCTTTGCTGTTTTGAATCCCAAAGTTACCCTCATATTTTTCTTCAATATCTGAGTTTTTAAAGTGAGTTTTATATAAAAAGTAGTTTAGTTAGAGAAATTAAGCTGTTTAATGTATATGTGTGTTTAGTTGGAATGACTGGCTGCTGTGGAAAGAAATGGCAGTTAAGATTACAAGGCATATTAGAAACATACAGTAAATAGACTATAGCTTGAATTTTTATTAAGTGTTCAATACATTTTAAATAGTATTTATAAGATATTTGCACCACAGTTTTCTGTGTATGACACACAAAGTAATTAATTTGTGACCTGCCAGCCAATTTAAGGGAAGAAACCTATTTTCTACGAGTTTTCCTGTGTACACTTAGTATACTTTTCTAGCCCTAACCCTCTTTTCAGAAGCAGCCTCTTGTTTGAGTTCATGTTTAATTTTTACCATCTTTACAAATAGTTTTGCTATAGTGTTTGCATTTCCAATCAATGTATAGCCTGCTTTTGCATTTTCATATATGAATGAAATACAGCTTTGTGCTCCTGTCTTGCTTTTCTAGTTCATCATAAAGTTTCTCAGTTGTGTTAAAATATATAGTGGTGATGGATTTATTTTGCTCCTCTAAAGTGTTCCACTATATGAATTTACCATAATTTATCCATTTTCCTGATGATGTTAATTTGGGTTGTTTCTAGGCTGATGTAGCCTCTAGGAATATGTGTTCATTTAGCATATATTTTGATAAATGGTAACTTGCAAAATGCCCAGTGATGTATGCAAAAACAAGTTGTAAACTTAGGCAAATTTATTTACTCATTTTATTATATTCACATTTCTTTTTGTTTTGGATAATCTTGGTTTTTACCTATGTTCCTGCCTTTCTGCTGGGTGTAGCAAAACCCACTTTCCTGTCTCAACAAATAGGTTGCTTTCTTTTTCTATGGTTATCCCTAGCTTCTTTAGGGGCCAATTAAGTATAAGGATTTAAATCCAGCAACCTAAGTCACGTGTGGATAAGTAAAGCATGGTTAATTTCATCTGCTTGTACTTGGAAAGCTGCGCTGTAATTTCTATGACTTTCTGCTGGAATAATGGAGATGTAAAGAAAGAGTGAATACTGTGTCCTGAGATGATTCAGTAGCTACTGCATGTGGTAAAACTTGGCCTAAATGAAGCTAATGTGGGAAATTATAATAATTCCTCAGGAAGCTGAGTGATTTTCATGACTAATCATGATTAGTGTTATGATTGAGTTAGTTACATGACTAAGGATTTTAAATGAAAATATTTTTAAAATAATCTTAACCACTAAAATTTCAATATTTGATTTGGCTGCTTTGTGACAATGTTTTGTGATTTTTTTAGCAAATTACTTTGAAGTGACTAGAAAACTTAAGGGTTCATTACAACTAATCCCCATTGAAATAAAAAGAAAGGAATGCTCCAGGAATGAGAATAGTGTAGATTTATATAATTTTTCTCAGATTTTCCTGTCCTTCTTAAAATTGCAGGTGGATAAACCTAACTTATATGATATAACCAATTTGGAGATGGACCCAAATGTCTATCTTCTGTCTGTATTTACAAAGTGGAAATGAATATTCCAATATATAGTCATAAATTCTTTATTGAATGTACTAGCTTAATTTAGATAGAATTTAAAAGTTTACAAAATGCCTCATGTTATTTCATTTGGTAGTTCATATTCTGTGATAACCTGGTCAGGTATTATCAGCATCCTTACCAATAAGAAAACATGAAAAAATAACAAGAATGATACCCCCTCAAAAAAGATAATTACTGAAGTAGGTTGTGAACAAATAGGGTTGCTACTACTCTCTCTCCTAGGTCTCTGATGCAGTTCTTTTGAGTATGTACAGCATGTTGTACAGGAGTGCAGGAGGAATCACAAGTGTTGAGACCACTTGTGTTGCTTGCTTTTGCTGTTAGGTAACCATTTACTAAAAGAGTAAAACGAATTATTTCAACTGGTGTGCAATCCTTCCAGATTCTCTATAGGCAAATAAGTTCTGTTCTAGAAATGCTAGAGGAGTATAAGCTGAGAAGTTTTCCTGCTCATAATAGAAAAACTGTTTTGTTCTGCCATTTCAGATTTCATTTGCAAATTGTACTAACAAAGCACCATTCAAGTAACTGATGAAAGAGTTTAGAGGTACTGAAGAGATAAAGCTCTATTTGATAAAGCAAATAGAAGACCAGATGACAAATAGTTTAAACACAAGCAGTATGGTCGGTCAGGTGTGGTGTCACAGGCCTAGAATCCTAGCATTCAGCAATTTGGTCAGGTATAGTGTCTCAGGCCTAGAAACTTTAGACTCAGGAGTCAGAGATAAGAGAATTGCTGCAAGATTTGAGGTCTGCTTGGTCTATGTAGTAAGGTCTAGACCAACCAGGGCAACATAGTAAGATAATTTCAAAAAATAATTCCTCAATTAAGTAACACTAACAAAACTAATACGAACAAAAGGAATAGGTTTGATTGGTTGACATAGGTTACCTAAAAAGAATCATTCAGTTTTTCATTAGGAAATGAGAAATGAAATCCTGAGACAAATGAAAAGTTGATTTTAAGATTCCAGTGACTATAAAGAAATAAAAATAAAGCCAAGTGTGGTGGTGCAAATCTTTAGTCCCAGCTCTTGGAAGGGAGAGGCAGGTGGATCACTGAGTTTCAAGGTCAGTATGGTCTAACTGGAGGGTTCCAGGACAGCTAGGGTTGTTACACAGAGAAACCCTGTCTTGAAAAACCAGTAAATAACAAACAAATAAATAAATTACATGTAGATATTTATATTGTGTGTATTAAGATTTCATTCTTGATGGCTGGTGGTGGCACATGCCTTTAAAGCCCAGCACTCCTGAGGCAGAGGCAGGTGGATCTCAGTTCAAGGCCAGCCTGGCCTAAAAAACAGGTTGCAGGACAGCCTCCAAAGCTACACAGAGAAACCCTGTCTTGAACCACCCCCCCAAATGATTTCATTCTTACTTAAATAATAAAGGGTGATATTTGATGATTATATTATCTATATATCATCAGAAGAATGGTTTTTCACTAACCTCTGATTTTCACAGAGCAATCAAGTCTTTAAATTTTCCCTCTGTCAGGAAACCGTTTGAATACTTGAATAATCAAAATAAAATTACACTTTATCACTAAAAGACTTGATTAATTCTTAAAAGATGATATGATAAGAAAGATGACAGCATTTTCTGTTATTAGAGATACTTTATACTTGAGAATGGTTCCACATTAATTTTAGAAATTGCATGATTGAGAAATTGTTTAATATAGGCATAAATGTGCTGAGAAACCCATTATTAAATAAACCTTTTCTTTATTATTTTATCATGCAGGCACTGTATGAAGAAAATTGTTAAGTGGAGAAGTAAAAAGAATTTTTTGAACATTCAAATGAAGACAAAGTAAGGAAAGAGCTCTTTAAAACTGCCTCATATTCTTATATTCCATTTTAGAGGCCACTGAACCTGTACATTTACCTATAGATAATGAATTTCTTTACTATTTTGTTCTGACCATACAACTCTTCACCATATATTGATTCTCAAATCAGAACTCAATCAAAGTCATTATCAAGGCTCTTATTAGTTTATCTAGTAAATTGATTAGAACAATACCTAAAATTCTTTATAGATTTGTGAGCCTCCTGTATTTGATTGCCTTCAGTAATTTGGGAATATATATTATATTCATTAATTATATTCAGTGATTTGGAGTTATTATTATCTCTGAGCAATGATTTGTCAGATGTTGCTATAGGCATTTGAGGTGGGGCAGTACTTTTGGAGATGGGGCTATTTTCTGTAGGACAGGATCCTCAGCATCATTTCTGTCCTCAGTCTGTGAGTTCCAGTAAGCCCCCTCCACGTTCTAAAAGCCAAATATGTCTGCAGACATTACCAAATCTTCTCTTGTGCCCAGAATCACTCTCAGTTAAGAGTTGATTAATCTCACTTTATAATTCTGTAACATTGCCTCTACATTAATCCATCAAGGTTGACAACAGTAATAGCAACATAAATAGATTTTATCCCGGTGTTTCTCAGACATATCACAGTCAAAACAATATTATAATTTCTGACTTTTGAAAGTATATATATATGTACATATATATATATATATTTGATAAAATTAGAATCCACGCAAGTGTGTGCGTTTGTGTGTGTATGGGTGTGGGGGGTTGTGCACATGCCTGTGTGAATGTGTAATATGGAGACCCAGCTGACCTCAAATGCCTTCTTCCTCACTCTTTATTTATTGAGGCAGAATCTCTTGCCGATAACAACAGTGCTCACCAATTTATGCTAGTATAGCTGGTTTTTCTCGGAGATCTCTGTCTTTGTTTCATGTTTTCTAGGATTTAAGGTACCTACCATATCTGTCTAGCTTTCAGGTGGATTTTGGGGTTCTGGACTCTAGTCCCCATGCTTGCACAGCAAGCACATTATCCATGTAGCCATCTTCCAACCTAGGAAAGAGATTTTTGAAGTTTTCCTAACTTCTGTTTCCTTTGAAGGCTGTGGAGCAAACAGGGCATTTGGACTCATTCCTTCAGGGCTAGGTTTCACTTAATATATAATCATCTTTAATAGTTCATTTAACTGGTATGGATTCTGATTTTGTTTGATGTAATATGGAAAATTTTGATAATTTTTTAGGATTAGATATTATAATATTAGAATTTTTGTTTTTGAGACAGGGTTTCTCTATGTTACAACCCTGGCTGTCCTGGAACTAGCTTTATAGACCAGGCTACCTCGAACTCACTGAGATCCGCCTGCTTCTGCCTCCCCAGTGCTGGGATTAAAGGCGTGTACTACCACCACCTAGCATATTAGAATTCTTAAATTACAAGATCTGAGAAATCATAATAATCTTTGCAGCTCCAGATGTAACAGTTATTCATCATTAGGAATGATACTTGTAAAGAAAAGTGAAAAACATGATATAAACACAGGATGTATTATTGTGTAGAAAAGTTAGACATTTCTGGTAATCATACTTCAACAAAGAATTAATGTCTATAGATGTCTAGAGAAGGCCAGTTAAACAAGTACTAAAAAGGCTTTAATAAAATATAATAGACTATTAATAATATATAGAAAGAACAGGTGTAAATTTATTGGATTAAAGTAAATAAAATTAGTAAGACTGTGTAGATCATATTTGAATTTATACTCATACAATCTCCACAAATAAGAATACATAGCCAATTTTTATAGCATATACTTTCTGTATTATGTCTTTGGGATTTATGAGTAATAATTTATAGTAATTAAAATATTTATTAGTATTATTTTTTATATATGTGTACCTACAGATGTTTATGTTTACCACATGTGTGCAGGTTCCTGTAAGTCCAGATGGTATTGAATTCCCCTGAGCTGAAATTGCAGGAACTTCTGAGCCACCTGTTGTAGGGGTTCTGGGAACCAAAATAGGGTCCTCATTAAGAGCAATAAATGCTTTTAACTGCTAAGCCATTTCTCCAGCCTGGATAAAAATTTAAAATTAAAAAAAATTTTATTTTAAAATAATTATTTATAATCCATTTTAATTATTTCCAATATATTGAAGGTTATTTTTTATTTCATGTAATTTCCTTTAAAAAATTGAAGCACCATACTAAGATTAAGGTTTTGTTTGACTACACTCACGAATATCCTCAGCGCTCCCGCCTGCAACAGCTATTTTCATAAAGTGTTGTATACTATTTTCTGTATACAAGTATGTATTTTAAAACAAAATACCTTGTGTGCTATTTAAAACATAGATATTTTACTTAGGTGTCTAGTTGTCAAACCACTTTTAAAAATTATTTTGATTTTTTTCTTTTTTTATTATTTATTTTTAAATTTAAATTAGAAACAAGGTTGCTTCACAAGTCAGTTCCAGGTCACTCTCCGTTTCCCTCCCCTCCTCCAGTGCCCTTTCCCTCCCCCTCCCCCAATATGCCCTCTTTCCCCAGGGAGGATGAGGCCCTCCTTGGGTATGTCCATTGTCTGCCATTTCATCCAGGTCAGGGCCTAGACCCTCCCCCAAGAGTTCAGGGTGAGAGTGCATCTCCCATCCAAACTCCATTTGTATACTCTGGATAAATACTGATCTACTACCCAAGGCTCAATAGATTACCTAGGCCTCCTCACTGACACCCACATTCAGGGGGTCTTTATCAGTCCCATGCTGGATTCCCAGGCATCAGCCTGGGATTCAAGAGCTAACCCTTGTCAGGTCAGTTGTTTCTGGGGGTTAAACCAGCCCAGTCTTAATCCCTTTGGTCATCAGTCCTCCCTCTCTGTTACTGGCTTTCTTGAGTTCAGCTTAGTGCTTAGCCATGGGAGTGTGCCTCTTCTTCCATCAGCCACTGAATGAAGTTTCTGTTTCCCAGACTCTCTGGCCATGGGATTGTAGGCTGGCACTCCCCAGATCTATGTCTGAATTCCATATATGAGAGAGTACATGCCATGTTTCTCTTTTTGTGACTGCATCACCTCACTCAGGATGGTTTCTTCTAGTGTCATCCATTTGCCTGCAAATCTCAGGATTCCATTGTTTTTTTCTGCTGAATAGTATTCCATTGTGTAAATGTACCACATTTTCTCTATCCACTGTTCGGGTGAGGGGCATCTAGGTTGCTTCCAAGTTCTTGCTATTACAAATAATGCTGCTATGAACATAGTGGACCAGACATCCTTGGTGTATGAATGGGTATCTTTTGGATATATGCCTAAGAGTGGAGTTGCTGGGTCTTGTGGTAGGTTTATTTCCATTTTTCTGAGGAATCGCCATATTGATTTCCAAAGTGGCTGAACAAGTTGGCACTCCCACCAGCAATGGAGGAGTGTTCCCCTTTTAAAAATTATTTTGAGATCTACCTATATAATTTATCAAAAATATTGAACTTCATATTTGTCTATTGACCTTTTTGTGATCATTTAGCTTGCTTTCCTTTTATTATTATTATTATTATTTTAAATTTTTATTAAAATAAATTATGTCTTAGAAACATGCATGCGCTGGGCGGTGGTGGCACACGCCTTTAATCTCAGCACTCGGGAGGCAGAGGCAGGCGGATCTCTGTGAGTTCAAGGCTGGGCTGGACTGACAGCCTCCAAAACAATACAGAGAAACCCTGTCTTGTAAAAACAAAACAAAAAAAAACAAAAAAATGAAGAAGCATGCATGCTTCACATGTCAGTCCCAGCTCCCTCTCCCACTCCTCCTCCCTTGTCCTTCCACCAGCCCTTCCTCAGTCCCCCATCCAATCCTGACAGCATTCCCCAGGGAGGGAGACGCCCTCCCTGGGGGTGTCTCCAGAGTCTGTCATTTCATCCAGGGCAGGGCCTAGGCCCTTCCCCATGTGCCAAGGCTGAGAGAGTATCCCTCCATGTGGAATAGGCTTCCAAAGTTCATTCGTACTCCATGGTAAACACTGATCTACCCAAGGCCCAAGAGATTTTTGAGGTCTCCTCACTGATACTACATTCAAGGCATCTGGCTCAGTTCCCTGTTGGCCTCTCAGCCATCAGTCTGGTGTTCAAGAGCTCCCCTTTGTCCGGTCAGCTGTCTTTGTGGGTTTCACCAGCACAGTCTTGACACCTTTGCTCATCACTCCTCCAACTCTGTTACTGGGTTTCAGGAGTTCAGTTCAGTGTTTAGCTGTGGGTATTTGTCTCTGATTCCATCAGTCACTGGATGAAGGTTCTAGGATGTCATATAAGGAAGTCATCAACCTTATCATCAGGGAGGGGCTATTAATGTAGTTTCTCTGCTATTGCTTAGTTTGACAGGTGGTGTTATCCTTGTAGATCTCTGCAAATCTCACTAGTGTCAGCTCTGTCCTCAAACCTATAATGACTCCATCTATTATGGTATCTCTCATCCTGCTCTCCTCTATTCTTACCTCGACTCAACCTTCCTGCTCCCCAATGCATTCTTCTCCCCTCCTCTTATCCCCCTCTCTTTTTCCTGGTTCCTTCTCCCCTCCGATGATGTTCCCAATCTGTTCAGGACATCTTGCCTCATTCCACTTCTCTGGGATATCATGCATATCTCTTGGAACTTCCCTGTTTCCCAGACTCACTGGCTCTGGGATTGTGGGCTGACACTCCTCTGATCCATGTCTAAAATCCATATACGAGTGAGTACATACCGTGTTTGTCTTTTTGTGACTGGGTTACCTCACTCAGGATGGTTCTTCTAGTGCCCTCCATTTGCCTGCAAATTTCAAGATTCCGTTGTGTTTATCCACTGAGTAGTACTCCATTGTGTAAATGTGCCACATTTTCTCCATCTACTCTTCAGTTGAGGGGCATCTAGGTTGCTTCCAGGATCTAGCTGTTACATATAATTCTGCTATGAACATAGTGGAACAGACATACTTATTGTGTGAATGGGCATCTTT